TTTTTTTTTTTTTAGGGGGAAGTGTTGGGAGTACTAGGGATTGAACCCAGGGGCACTTAACCACTCAACTACATCTCTAGCTTTTTAATTTTTTTTTTTTTTCTGAGACAGGGTCTCACTAAATTACTTAGAGCCTTACCAGGTTGCTAAGGCTGGCCTTTTAATTTGTGATCCTCCTGCCTAAGCCTCCTTAGTTGTTGGGATTACAGGTGTGCACCACCAAACCTAGCTTGATTTTATATCTTATTGGTTGAAAAAGATAAACAGTTCTAACTTCAACACTACAAGTTTGAGAATATTTGGAGCCTCAGACTTCCCAGTTGCAAATAAGTCAATTCTGCCCCAAACTAATCACTTTCCTACAGTTATGATTTTTAAAAATTCATATTACAAATGCAACATTATGGGAAATAGTATCACCAAATGTTCTGCCACTGTGCAGCATGGATCTGTGTGTGTGTGTGTGTGTGTGTGTTTGTGCGTGCGCGCGGGGCGGGGAGGGGGGAAGGCGGCTGGGGATTGAACCCAGGGCCTTGTACATGTGAGGCAAATACTCTACCAACTGAACTATATCCCTAGCCCTAACATGGATCTTTTATTTTTCTAGTTTCCAAAAATAGTTTTCTTGCTGCCAGCCCCTGACTTAGATCTGTGGACCACCCACTGCTTTCATCTTACTTGAGTCCATATATATGTATGTGTGTGTATATATGTATGTATATATTTATATATATGTATACCTATACACATACACATGTGTATATATGTATGTAGACATGCACAGACTTAACTTTCTAAAAGCAGGAATGTGAGCAATCTGTTCAGCTGCTAAGGATGACATATTCTCCAATGCCATTTTTAGATATGAAAGACATGAAAAAAGAAGAACCTCCAGGGAATAAGGTCAAGGACCGTAGAGAACAATGAATTAAAAGCAACTCAATGTCACAACTGAGACATAATCACAAAACATTCCATATCCCAGGGTAAGGAAATCTCATTTGTTTAGTACAATTTCAGAAGAGCATGAACCAGTGGCTCCCTCTCTTCCTTTCAAATGGAAGCATTTATTTTGTTTATCCTGACCCTGTGCAATATTGTATATTGAGAGCGGGGGCATGTACAGAGTTAATACAAAAGGCCTGAGAATGCTTTCATAAGGGCATGTTTGCAAGGTAGGCTTTCAGCTAATAACTGGGAACTTAGATATCAGAGTTCTAACAATAAGGGTGGTTTACTACGCCTACTCTATTAGTATAATGAGATTTATACTTTCCTTCTGGGACTTTTAGAATTTTGTTAAGTGGCAAGCAGAGGTTACCTACAGATAAGCCCCCAGTAAAAACCAAACAGTGAAATGGTTGACAAAATTTAACAAACATCACAAGCTGACACTAAAGAAATTAAGTATATTTTCTGTGACTCTATTAGGAGAGGAATTTTGGAAGCTTGTGCCTGCTTTCTATGTTGTCCACAGACCTTTTCCTTCTGTTTATTTGTTTTGTATGATTTACTATAATAAATCACAGCTGTACATGCAACTATATTCTGCAATCTGTGAATCCTTCAAGCTAATCACCAAGCATGAGGGTGGTCTTGGGAACCCTTATACAAAGTAGATAACTAGTCTTTTTAGTTCATTGGTCTTAGGTTCAGAATGAGTCATAGCTGGCCCAGATGTAGATAAGAAGACCTTGGGCTTCAAGACTGATGCTAAAAGGAAATAAGACTGAGTGTCTTCCTTAGGGTAAGAGAAATAGCAAATGTACTCTGAGAGAATGAAATCAATTTTTATGACCAAAAAGACTGCATGGTATATTATTCTTCCCAATTATTTTTTTCCTTCTCTATAAAAAGAATACAGAGGCTAAGAGAGTAGCTTGGTAGAGCTAAACATGCACAAGGCCCTGGGTTCAATCCCCAGCAGGACAAAATAAATATGTGAATAAAAAGAAAAAGATTTTACATTTCTGCCTACTACCATCTGACTTGCTTCCCTGTAATCAGTATACTTCGGTGTCCCATTGTCAGGATTGACTATAACTTGCCAAAAGAATGAGAGAACAAGTGACTGCCAGTTCAGCAGAAACTTTAAGAGACATCATCGGGCTGGGAATGTGGCTCAAGCGGTAGCACGCTCGCCTGGCATGCGTGCGGCCTGGGTTCCTCAGCACCACATACAAACAAAGAAGTTGTGTCTGCTGGAAACTAAAAATAAATAAATAAAATAAAATAAAAAAAGAGACATCATCACCTACTCTCCTGCTCTTTCCTCTGTCCCCCCAAAAACATGTTCCAAACAGGACTTCTTCTTTCATGACACATGTAGCTATACTGGTCAACCTGTGGCTACAACATGTATTATAAATCAGAAATAAATGTTAGTCATAAGGCAAGGAGATTAGGGGCAATTCCCTAATGAAAGCAAAACTTAACGTTAACCACATACAAAACATATACCACAAAGCAAAGCGTTAACCATATACTTAATCTCAAATACGTTCACATACTTAAAATATTAAAACATACTTCCTGGCATAACTATTTTTGTAGTAATACAAAAACTCTACATCTACCTAACTTACGTTTTGGAGCTCTTTCAGGAATAGGAGTATCACTGATTTTCTCTTCTTTGGCAGACTCCTTATTTTCTGAAGACTTTGGCTTTTTTCTTTGGCGCAGTTCTATAGTTGGTCCTTAAAAAATTTAAGACATTATTGCAATGGATGTATCAATCATCTGTACCCCAAACTGATTAACTTTTATTATACTAAAGTTAAAGCCACCTATGTCACCTACTGAGACCAATGTATTTCACAGACAACTTTTTTCATAATTATGTTAGGTAAAACTGTCTTTAGCACAAAAAAGCCAACATAGGCTCACCACCACCACCTTCCATGTTTTGAGAGTCCCAATGATAAACCAGTAAGTTCATCTCCTGAGATAATGCTATTTAAAAATATCCCAAAATAAGTATAAAATTTTTAGAATGCCTGGGGTACAATAAGTTATTTAGGTTATTATTACTGAGCATATCAAGTAAATCATGCACGAATTAACAATTTTTTAAAATAAAAACACAATATACTGATTATAAAACTATACTTTGTGTTATTTTTCATTTTTTTCTTTTAGTTTTATATGGATCTCTTTTTTAATTTACGTATTTATATGCGGTGCTGAGGATGGAACCTAGGGCCTCACACATGCCAGGCAAGTGCTCTACCACTGAGCCAACACTCAGTGAGTGACCCAACACTCCAGCCTTTCAATAATCCTGAAAGTTCTATAGTGTTTTACAGTGCTGAGTATCATCAGCATTGTACAATTATATAACCCTAGGTTAGAAAATAGGAGTAACCTATAAAGATCCCTGTTATCAAAGTGTGGGAAATTCTCAGAAAAATTTCTAAATATTAGACTATTTCTAAATATTAGACTATCATTTTTTTCTATCTCTTTAAAAAAATGTAATGTAGATATTACCTCCAAAACCAGTAAACTAAATTTCAAATTAAACAGGAATGTATGTTAGATAATGTAACTATAATACATATAGATAATAATCTTAACTTCTCAGAATTATCTTCTCAGGTAAATAACAAGTTCAAAGTCTCTGTCAAGTGTATAAACTATCCAGGAATTGAACACTTTTTTTTTTTTTTCCAGGACCAGGGATTGAGCCTAGCGGTACTTAACCACTGAGTAACATCCCCAGCTCTCTTTTTTTATTTTAGACAGGGTCTCACTAAATTGCTTAAGGTCTCACTAAGTTGCTGAGGCTGGCTTTGAACTTGAGTTACTCCTGCTTCAACCTCTCAAGTTACTGTGATTACAAATATGTGTCCCCATGTCCAGCTAAGATGCCATACATTTTTAAGGTGTTATTTAATAAGTTTTCAAGGAAAAAACCACTCTTGTATATTGAATGTAAACACTGACATGTCAATTTTAGTGGCATCAAATTATGAGAACAAAGTGTAAAACTAATAATTTATTTTATTTTAACCAATCTCTTCAACTTTGTCCTTAAACTAACTTTGTGTCTATTACCAAGAAACAAAACTAAATGAATGCAAATATCGTCTCATTTCCTTTATATTGGGCTTATAACTTAATTACTCCAAAGACAAAGCCACTGATGGGAAATGCTCAGTGGTGAGCTCAGTGGTAGAGTGCTTAGGCCCTGGGTTGGTGCCCCAGCACTGATCCCAAAAGAAACCCACAGAGTTAGGCATCTCTAGGTGGGAAAACTGCAAAGGCCAAAGCAATGGACAAACTTGATTATCAGTTCTGATAGGAAAGCTCTGAAATGAAACTCAAGTTTCATTTTTACTAGTTACATTTTTAGCATTGTAAAGAAAAAGTCAAACTAAATGAAGATGATTACATACCCACAAAAATAATCTGCTATTTCAGAATCTGGTCCAGAATCTTCATATGAAATAGTAAGGCTACAAATAGGCTTGTGAATGTCCATCCAGACTATACATAGCAATCTCCAAGTGAAGTATTAACATTGTTCTACTCAAAGTTTATTGCTTCTTTCTTTGCTCTAATATTTCTTTAAGGAAGTAGAAATATAAGCACCTGACCCTCTACTGCATCACACAAGTCATATTTTGGAAGATTAGATTCACATAGAGTATTTACTTATAGAAACATATAGAGAAAGAAGAGGATCCAAGTGAATGTGAATATGCAAAAAAAAAAGACATAAATAACAAAATAACACCTAGATACAAGTAAAATATATAGACTAGACTAATTTTAACACAATGAATACAATATGATGTGTTTTGAAAAAATTGAGTGCCAAGTAAATGGAAAGTACCCAGAATAATGCCTGACACAAAGACATGTCTGCTAAAAATATTATCATCAGAGCATTATTATAATAAATGAGAATTTAATTATTCGCCATTGTATATCTCAGAATCTAACATGAGGGGGGCACAAATATTTATGGAATTAAACATTTGTTGAATGAAACTATGCTTTAATAAAACTGTAAACCACTAATTGTTCCATTTAATTGTTTTTGGGTCACCTGTAATTCTAAAATAAAAAATCACTTTCCATTTTATATCCAAGTAAATTTGACAAAATGGTTATACTATTTTCATTGGTTCCACAACATATATATTTAATTAGGCATAACTATAATCTCTTAAATAACTTTTTTGCACAATGTACATTAGACTTTAAGTATTATAGAATTTTTTTCATGTATAAACGAAGCTAGTTTATCAATCTACTCCCAGAGATTTGCAGCTGGTCAGAAAAGCAAAGTATAAAAGGAAATATTAAAAATGATAATGTAATGCAACCACAGAAAAACCAAGGAAACAAATGGGATTACACTCTTCCTTACCAATCACAAATACTTTGGTTTTGAAGCTGCTTTAGGTAGAATGTCTTACATTTAGATTAGCTTTAACCCTGAAAACTCAAGGAAGAGGAGGTATGTGTGAAGCAAGCATGAGTATTGGGAGATGGCAGCAAGTCACAGAGTAATAAACACTTCTTACCCTTAATCTTTATTTATTTTGAATTGCTTCCCACCGAATTCTTCAAACTCCCTTCTCACACTCTTGGCTCAAAACGGCTTAAATCTAAATTAGATCAGCTTTCTATCACATTCATAACTCTACTCAAAAAGGTAAAAATACCGTGTTTTCCAACTGAATGCAAAATCTAACTGGTCAATCAAGTGACCTACCTACCATGTATGCCTGTTTCCGAAACTTAGAAGGGTATGAATATTTCCTTATGCTCTCTACCAATAACTAAGTTTCTCCTAGCTTTCCACTCTTATTTTATTTATACTTTTCTGCGAATACATATTGCTGGCTGAATTTTCTTGGCACCGGTCCTGAGGGGCTATGGAAAACTTTCTACAACCCAATTCCTCCCAATTCATTTTACCATGTTATCCTAAACCCCTGACTCTTTGCGAGTGGTATGAGTCCCCTCACCCTGCGACTTTGTGTTTGTCATGATCCACAAACCTTTATGAGCGCACTCAGAATGCGGGGCATCTGGTTAAACTATTATCACACTCAAAGATCCTTTCTGTACCTAATCCTACATCTTCTAAACCAACTATGTCCCTCACTCCATTTATGATCTGCTAATAACCCTCAATTCAAACACTCCCCCGCACAGCTCTCTCTCGCGTTGCAGATGCCCAACTTTAGGCTCCACCTTTGCTTCCCATTTGGGGAGACAAAACTTCGGGCCATTCACTCGGCTCCTCGAGAATTTCTCCGCGAACTCCCCCGCCCGCTCCTTCCCGCCCTCCTTGCGCGGCCCCAGCCACCGGTCGCCAGCAGCCCAGGCCTCCGGGCCCCTCGCATCCCCGCCCCTTTCCCGAGTCCACGGGCGGCACTGGCGACATCACCTTCTTCCTCCGCCATCGTCTCCGCGGAGACCCGGGTGGCCGTCCGGCTCCCGCGCGCCCCGGAGTTTCACTCCCTTTGCGTTGCGGAACACCTCCGCGGCCCCTGGCCCACTCCCGGCCGCCGCGCCCCCACTTCCTGACCCGCCCCCCTCCGGTGTCGCTGCCAACCACGTTCCCCCCGGCGGCCAAGGAACTAGAGTGCCGGGAGCGGCGGGCGGCCGGAGCGTTTCGCTGGGGCGCCTGGGCCTGCGCTGGCAGGAAGGAGCCTCAACGCCGGGGGCGCTGCCTACGGTTCGTGCTCCTGGCCCGCCCATCCCCTCCCCAGGAAAGCGAGGTTTGTGAGGCCCACCGCAAACCCTCAATTTGTGCGTCAGTTCCAAAAACGTGGGCGGGAACGTACATTCCGCGACTTTGTGGTTCAACTCCGGGAGTCAAGAGACTGCTATCAGGTTTACCTTTCGAAACCAGCCCTCACCCCCGTTTTACAAAAAGGAAACCGGGATTCCGCATAAAGCAGCCTCAAAGCTACTTAGAGCAGGAACTGGAACGCACGACCCTGAACTGCGGTCAGTGCCTGCGTTCTCACCTGGATTTGAGAGCCCGGCAAAACGTTCTAGTTGGCAGTTTGGCTCAGCAGACCGCTTGACCATTACAAGAAAGAAGCGTGTGCTAATTGACCAAAACGGGTTAAACAAGATGTTTGCGTGTCATGATATCCAAGAAAACAGAACAGTCCAATAATACCGGCCTGTGGGAGAAGAGTCGTGCGTTTAGATATTCCATAGCAGAAGGAAATAGTTTTACTTTTTATGTCCTCACTTGTATCTGGCATTTTCCAGCAAACACCAGGACCCCCCCAAATTTTCCCCAGAAGTTCATGGAAGTAAATTTAGGAAGTGAGGAAATATCTTTTTGAAGTGGGAAAAGCAAGCACAGAATTAACTGAAGTCGCTGAGTAATTATGGATGTCCCTTACTTAGCAGGGAGCAAGTCTCCTCTAAATATGGCTTTATTAAGTTAGGACATTTGGGGAGAGGCTATCATTTTTTAATACTGTGAAAAAACAGTTTCAGGAACTCGTTTTATGTCTTTAATTGCCTGTAAATATGTCTTTTGCCTTCAAACAACATTGCACTAGGAGTTACAAACTGGCGACCAGAAAGGGCCCTCAATGCAGAAATTATGAACACTGAAAACCACAGGATATGACAGAGCCCTAGGCATTGGCCACAGATACCCAGTGTCCTGTGTCAGATCAACTGTGTGAAACAGCTACAATGTATGAGAAAGCAAACATAATGACTGAGTCTTGAAGCCCTACGCTATTGTTTTTTCATGATGCCTAAAGGTAGACTTGATTGTCAATTCACCTGCTCTGTAGAATAATGGGAGAAAGAAAAATAAGACAAAATATCTTCTTTCCTTTTTTTTTGTATCAAGAATTGAAACCAGAGGCTTACCCACTTGAGCCACATCCCCAGCCCCTCTCCCATTTTTAAAAAAATTTTGAGACAGCATCTCATTAAGTTGCTGAGGCTGGCTTTGAACTTATGATCCTCCTGCTTCAGCCTCCTGAGTTGCTGGGATTACAGGTTTGCTCCATGGTGCCCAGAAAAAAATAGCAATTTAAAAGAAGAAACATACCTACTTGGGTGGCTGAAACAGGAGAACCACAAGTTTGAGGCCAGCCTTAGCAACTTAGACCCTGAGCAACTTAGCTAGACCCTGTCTCAAAATAAAAAAGCCTGGGGATGTAGCTCAATGATAGAGGACCCTAGGTTCAATCCCTAATATAAGCCTCCACCCCACAAAAAAAGAGAAAAGGGAACATGAGAGAAAATAAATATTCAGTCTTCAGAAATCAATAGACTAGGGGTTGTGTTCTCTAGTATAAACATTTCTCCCTTGAATCCTGAACCAATGCAACCAAAAAATGTACTTCATCAAAAAACATGTCTTGCAACCAGCATTATGGCTGTTTTCAATAGGTCACTCCATAATACCAAAGGCCAGTTATTTTCGGATAGTAACATACATGGCTAGTGGATACATGGTCTAAGATGACTTTAGATGAACCATATTGATTAATTTTCCACAACCACAATGGACTTCTAGTTTTCTATCCAAAATTTGAAGAGTCATTTCATACTCTTTGCCTCACCTTGACCAACCCTAAACACTCCACGTTATCTCAGATGGTCTTTAATGTGCAAAATATTCTCAAAGAACGATATGGCTTTCTGCCATCTCTAAAAGATAGAGGTGCCCTTCTATATGTAGTTGGATATTTTTAGTGAAATATTATTGGTTTTAAGAAATTAAAGTCTTGAGCTTAGGATGCAGCTCAGTCAGTAGTAGAGTGTTTGTATAGCATGCATGAAACCCTGGGTTTGATACTTAGTGACAAACGCAAACACAACACAGCTTTTAGGAAATGTAGGAGTACCAAACTGGGCAAGAAAAACAAAGGCCTAGAAAGAAAATAAAAGTGTTCAAAGAGAATATTCTTGAAAGATACTGAAAATGTATAGGACCTGATACAAACTGGACATATTAAATGATGAATAGAAGATGATTTATAAGGTTTATATTTTGAAATTAATCATGTACTTTTGTGTATGTGAGTGGTTCTGGGGAACAAACCCAGGATTTCAAACATGTTAGGCAAATGTTCTACCACTTAACTACATTTGCAATCCATAATCATATACTTTCCATGCATCAAGCACAACATTTTGTCAAGATATGAGAAAAATACAAAACAATTCCCCAGAGAACTTATCTTTTTTAAACCAAAGAGATATATGCAAAAGATATTTTAAAAACTTTCTTCTGGCTGGATGCAGTGGTACATACCTGTAATCCCAACCTTAGGAGGCTAATGCAGGAAAATTGCAAGTTTGAGGACAGCCTCAGCAACTTAGTGAGACCCTGTCTCAAAATAAAAATTTAAAAGGGCTAGAGATGTAGCTCAGTGGTAAAGTGCCCTGGATTCAATCCCCAGTACAAAAAAAAAAAAAAATCTTCATTTTATTAATAGCAACCTACCATAATCACTGTTGAAATCCTTGAATCAGTTCAACTTTTCATCTATTAAACATGAAATTTTGTTTCATTTTTACTATATAATAGAATCTTAGTTATCCATTGAGTAGCATCTTTCTATTATTCTCAAACATGATCTCCTTTGTGTACTCTGAATTAGATGTAATCAGTTCATTTTTACTGCCATTATATTCTTTTAGGGGGGCATGGGGGAGTGAACTTAGGGGCACTTGACCACTGAGCCACATCCCCTGCCCTATTTTGTATTTTAGAGACAGGGTCTCATTGAGTGGCTTAGCAGCCTCGCAATTCTCCTGTCTCAGCCTCCCCAGCCACTGGGATTACAGGTATGTGCAACTGTGCCCAGCTATTGCCATTATATTCTAAGTTGTATTTTGGCTGTGCTTTATCCCTATCTTTAGTCCAAACTCTGCAAATATATTGTAGACAAGCATTTCCTCACTTTTTCCTTATTGTTGACGCTGTATTTCAGTGCATCCTGAATATATTTGCCTTATTACCATTCATCATTAGGATCTGCATATTTTTCTTTTCCATTGAGAGAATTACAACTGCACAAATCAACAAACTCGGGACCATATACTTCTCCAAAGTGGGATGCATTTTTTTTCTAAAATATTTTATTTAAATATTTTAAATTGTATGTATTAGATATTATAGAATATTTTCTAAAATAGAGCTGGGCATGGTGCCACATGCTTGCAATCCCAGCTACTTGGGAGGCTGAGGCAAGAATATCCAAAGTTTGAACAGTCTGGGCAATTTAGTGAGAGCCTGTTTCAAAGTAAAAGTTATAAAGGGCTGGAGATGTAGCTTGTCTAATGTGGGAGGCCCTGGGTTAGAATCCTAGTACCCAAAACAAAACAAATCTGTATATATGCATATTTTCTAAATATACTTTTTCCTAGAGTTGGCTCCTCTAGGAAGATATTTTTAGCCAAGTTAATTATACAAAACAATATTCATAAATAAAGCATTTACTGGTATCAAATAGTCTATTAAAACCTCCCCAAGTGATTTTTTTTTTTTTTTTTTGGTACTGGGGATTGAACTCGGGCATTTAACCACTGAACCACACATTCCCTGCCTTTTTTTTTTTTTTTGTATTTTATTTAGAGACAGGGTCTCACTGAGTTGCTAAGTGCCTCACCAAGTGGCTGAGGCTGGCTTTGAACTCACAATCTTCCTGTCCCAGCCTCCTGAGTTGCTAGGATTATAGGTGTGCGCCACTGTGCCGGGCGAATCTTCTTTTTCTTAAATACATTGTTGATTTTGTACCAAGAACCTTTTTTCAGATAATAAATTTTCTAAACATTTATGGGGTTATATTAGCACTTCCAGATAAAATTTAGGACAAATTAGTGTAAGCGTGTCCCTGGTAATATTTGGAATATATTTATTTGAAAAATTTTTTTTTCTGAAATTCTCATTTAATATCTTGGGTCTTTTTGTTTTCTCTGTTTTTGTTAACTCGGACAGCCTATTTATATGGATTGAGATGGTCCCACTAGAATACACCTAGCTTTGCTCTCATAACTTCTGGACACAGGTAAATCATAGATTAAATTATTTTGAAAGAAGGAAGGTAGTTGGATAATAGGTTGACTCTTGAGTACCTCAGCCAGGATGGATCATTCATCACCATGTTCAGACCTAAAGTGCTGAGCATCTATTACACTTTTTTGTGGGGAGGGGACACAGGAGATTGAAACTTGGGCACACTTTACCACTGAGCTACATCTCCAGTCTTTCTTATTTTGTATTTTCAGACAGGATCTAAGTTGCTGAGGCTGACCTCAAATTTGTGATTCTCATGCCTCAGCCTCCCAAGCTGCTAGTATTACAGAATTGCATGGCCCAGTCAGACTTACTTAAAACTAAGAGTACAAAGACTTGGGGAAAATGTTTTCCATCAAAATTATGATTTATCACCTTAACAATTTACATATGACAAGTAAACTATTATTAAACATCAACAATTATGATTTTTAGAATCCTGCAGAGATGCACTCTGGTAAAGGGATCCTTAGAAGCCAGTATGTATGCCCAGTAGATGGCAGAAGCAGCCAAACCAAATTGACCCTTTTGGTTGTATAGTTCAGTGTAAAAAGCGACTCTGAATTAACTTTGAGATAGGATCTTGCTAGGTTGTATAACTGGCCTTGAACTCCAAATCCTCCTGTTTCAGCTTCCCAACTAGTTGGGATTACAGGTGTGCACCACCATGCCTAGTTTAACTTTTAAAATGTACAAAATCATACTAGATAAAAAATTTTGCTAGTATGACATTAAATTTGCTGGAAGTGGTAGCATAAGCCTGGAACCCCAGCCACTCAGGCCTGAGACATGAGGATTACAAGTTTGAGACCAGCCTGAGAAACTTTAGACTCCGTCTCAAAAAGAACTGAGGATACTGTAGTTCAGTGGTAGAGCACGCTTGGGGCAATAAGCAGTTACCCCCCCCCCCAAAAAAAAAATCAAAATCTCAATGACTTCTGGATATGGCAGTGCACAACTCTAATCCCCACAGACAGGAGGCTGAGGATCACAAGTTCAAAGCCAGCCCAGCAAGTTAGTGAGGCCCTCAGCAACATATTGAGGCCCTGCCTCAAAATACAAAATAAAAGGCTGGGGATGAGCGTAGTGGTTAAGTTTTTAAAAACTCCTCAATGACTTATGTAAGGATGGATGATTGTTTAGCCAGTATCTTGAGTATAATTATTTATGGTAAACAGGGGGAAAAAAAAAAAACCTTACACCTCAGGAAAAGAAGGCTCACCTACATGCTTCTACCATTACCACTAACTTTTTTTTTTTTAAAGAGAGTGAGAGAGGAGAGAGAGGTGAGAGAGAGAGAGAGAGAATTTTTTTTTAAAGAGAGAGAGAGAGAATTTTTTTTTAAAAGAGAGTGAGAGAGGAGAGAGAGAGAATTTTTAATATTTATTTTTTAGTTCTAGGCGGACACAACATCTTTGTCGGTATGTGGCGCTGAGGATCGAACCCGGGCCGCACGCATGCCAGGCCAGCGCGCCACCGCTTGAGCCACATCCCCAGCCCGAGAATTTTTTTTTAATATATATTTTTTTTAGTTCTTGGTGGACACAACATCTTTGTTGGTATGTGGTGCTGAGGATCGAACCCGGGCCGCACGCATGCCAGATGAGCGTGCTACCGCCTGAGCCACATTCCCAGCCCCAACCACTAACTTCTAATTACAAAAAAAAAAAAGAATGCAAACATTGAGATTAAGCAGGCAAGTTTTATTATCAAATGTAACAATTCTACAAAAACTCAGTAGTATTGTTATAAGTATTTCTGACTACATTAGTCTTTCAGAGCTTTGGGCAGAGAGCATATTAAGACATCAAGTACAAATAACTTTTTTATCTGATCTTAAGTGCCAATTTTCACACAAAAATATTTTGGGATGTTTTTCTCCTCCCTCCCCTGTTGCAGTTAAAGGGCCATTGCTGGTCAGGTAAAGAGTAATATTTGGCTCTCCATTCAAGGTGTTAATCTAAGTAAGGCAAAGTAAATAAAAATAGCAGCCACAAAAATCTGCATGGCATTGCATCCAAGCAAAGGACAATATGAGTAACAAAGAAATATGTGCACTTAATTAAATCCTTTTTTCCTCTTTGGAATTGCATGAGGCAGCAGTACTAGCTAGCGTCTAATATTGCACTTTTGTAGCATAAACACAGCTAAACACATAGTGCTAAACACTGACAACATCAGTACCTGTTCTAACTGCATCAGTGTTTACCTCTCAGTCTAGCATGCTGACTACAGTCCTATGCTTTTAAAAAGTTTTAATTGTTTTGATAGTTAAGGCAGTAGAGAAAAAGGTTTAAGGCAATATTAATATGTACAAGCATTCACTTCAGTTAGTAGATTGCTTTCTAGAATACACTGTTCAAATAGTCTCATTTTTGTGATATTAAAAACTATGGAGTTTCTCTTATTAAAGTCCAAACCATCAACAATGAAAAAGTACAATATAAAATAATACATAAGAAGCCGCAATATTCAGTTGCAGGTTTATCTAGAAATTACTACCTACATGTAGCTGCTTCATTTTTGGTTCCGCATTTTGGCCCCTACTTCATTTTTATTTACAACTGGTACCTGCTGAGAAAAAGATCTAAACCTTTCAACTATACATGTGTTGTGGAGGGTATTACCTTTCTCCTCAGATGTTTGTTTTTTTGTGTGGTGCTGGGGATTGAACCCGGGCCTTATGCATCCTAGGCAAGGGCTCTCTACCACTGAGCCACAACCCCCCAGCTTGCCTCAGGTGTTTTAAAAATCATGTGAATTGTTTTTTAACTATAAGACATCATGATGGCCAAGAAATTCGGAAAATATTAGTTTTATTTTATTCCTTAAGTTTGTGATTTACGTGTCCAAGGCCATGGGCTTGAATTACTTAGCCAAGAAGGCATGATTGTGCAGAGAACAGGGAGATGGCAAAAAAAAAGGGAGGGGGGATATACAGAAATGAAGCTTCCATAACAGGTTCATGGTGGAGATGGTAGATAACCAGTGGAATATTTTTTAATCCAAGACTTAAACTTAGGAAACACCTGTGCTGCCACTTTAGCTGAAAGTAATAAGAGACGTTTGATTTCAAATTCACATTTTAAATGCTTATTTGCACTCAGCAAGGAGCTGCTTCGCTGTAAGGATTTGGCTTCACTGGCTCAAATTTTTCACTCCACCAAAAGATAAGGCACAGCTCCACTGTCCAATCATGTTTGCTGAAAATACTGCAGCCTGAGTGTAGATAAACTTCCCCTGAAGTTGCTAGAAGTTTTCTTGTGTCTGATGGTTTCAGGATCACCATACATCTTTCAAACACTGAAAAAAAATGAGTAAAAGGCAATGTTGTTAGAATTAATAAAGGAAATTTCAAATAATTTCTAAGAAAAACATTCCAATTAATAAGAATCACCAACACATGACAATAATGATAAACATGAACTTTATGTGCCAGCTCATTGATTAGCACCTTTATATGGATCCCTTTATTCCATCCCCATATATAACTCCCCTTCAGATTATCATGTTATCCCCATTTTAGAGATGAAGCACAGAATGATTAAGCTACTACACCTGTGGGACCCAGATCTGTGCGTTCAACCAAACACTTCTTTAAAACAAAATTCAGGAAAGCCAGAAGCAGTGGCACACGCCTGTAATCTCAGCAATTTGGTAGGCTGAGGCAGGAGGATGACAAGTTCAAAGCCAATATAGACAATTTAGAGCGATCCTGTCTTAAAAAGTAAAAAGGAGTGGGGAAGTAGCTCAGTGGAACTACTTCCTGGGTTCAATCAGCATTAAAAAAAAAAAAAAAAAATTTATACTGACACAAACTTTTCTTATTATTCCCTAAAAATTACAATCTAGGGCTGGGGTTCTGGCTCAGCAGTAGAGCTCTCACCTACCGCTATCTAAGACCCTGGGTTTGATCCTCAGCATCACATAAAAATAAATAAATAAAATAAAGGTACTGTGTCTAACGACAACTTTAAAAAAATTAAAAAAAAATAGTGTCTAACAACTCCTTTCATAGCATTTATATTGTATTGGGGTGGGGGTGTATGCACGTACGCGCTGGGGATCAAACCCAGGGCCTTGTGCATGCAAGGGAAGCACTCTACCAACTGAGCTATAGACCCAGCCCTGTATTGGGTTTTATAAGTAATCCAGAAATGACTCAAAGCATATGGATGTGTGTAGGTTATAAGCAAATACTAAACGGCTTTACATAGGGTCTGGAGCATCTCTGATCATGGCATCCTGAAACCAATCTCCTCAGACACAAAATGACAACTGTAATAAGAATATCTGAGATTTGAACCACTGCATAGATTCCTCTATGCTTTTAATTATATACCACAGACAAAAACTTAGCAAGAAAACTTTCGGCATTATGCACACTTTTGCATGTAAATGAGAAATAGGGATGAAGACAGAAAGGGAACTAGCTCTTCAGAGTTCAGTCTTGTTTCATATGAGCAGTTGGAAATATGGTCAGCAGTAAATTTGCTTTCATAATAGCAATTTGTATAACTGGTACACATTTAAAATCAGGTATTTAAAAATTACTTAAATACTGGTTTGTTAGAATTCATGTTTAAAATGTGGTTTACAAAGTGACTAACAACTTAGCCCTTGGTATGAAACACTGCATTGAAAGGTGGATACTGATAAGCAAACTTATCAATTATCCAATGCTATTGCCCAATTATATCCTTTATTGGCAACACCACCCTAATTTTGCTTAATGAACTAGCCTCATCCAATCTCAAGTCCATAAAGAGGCAATTTTACCACTGTGCCAAAGGAGTGACCCAGACACAGCCACTCAGAGCCCTAGATAACCAAACCATGGTGGTTTCAGAGATGGACTTGGAGTCACACCAGTGAATTTCAATTCCTGGTTTGCTTCTGGACTTGAAAATGAAAGGGTATAAACCAAGTATTGCTGTGGGTACAACATGGAGAGAACTTGACTGAAAGTAAGCCTTCAGATTCAGCCAACTCAGTGAGCCCTGGACCTGTCAGTTGTCAATCAATGAGTTCCCCCTTCCTCATTCGTAGCCCATTCTATTATACACCACTTTGTAGATGCCAAAAATTACACGCTCATACTATGCTCCCCTGTCCACCCTACCCCTTTACCTCAAACATGCTGAGAACTCTACCACTCACTCACATCCCTAACCACTTAGAACTGCTTTTTTCTTTGGGGGGCAGGGAAAATTAACCCAGGAGTGCTTTCTCACTGAGCTACACTCCCAGTCCCTTTCATTTTTTTGAGACAGGGTATCTGTAAGTTCCTGAGGCTGTCCTTGAACCAACAATCCTCCTATCTCAGCCTCTGAGTCTCTGGGATTACAGATGTGCACTACCATGCCTGGTCTCAGAACTGCTTTTTAATCCGGTGGAATATAGTGTCGTTTGAGTGTCTAGCTATAAGACTACAAGACTATATTGTTAGGGGGAAAAAAAAACAACTCAGAAGGATACAGAGAAAATGTTCTCCCTCTTTGGCTACAGTAAAACAAATATTAATGGTACAGAGACAATTTGAGAGTTTTAACTGCAAACATTCTCAAATCTTTCATTTCTAGTAAGATGTGTGTTAAAACAATGTTTTATTTTGTAATAATCTGTCATTAAAAGTATTATGTACACAAGAGTCTTGAGAGATACCAGAGTTCCACCAATAGCAGCTATGTCCTTTGGAATGAACCTTAAAAACTCTACAATTCTGACTAGTTGTAATATTTTATTCTTATACTAATTTTCACGTTTTTCTGAAAAGTGTAAGTCATTTGGGAGTTTTCCTTGTTAAATTGTATTTTTCCTCATATGTAAAAGATAAAATAAAACCTATAACTCAAAAGAGTTTTTTGGTTTTTTTTTTTGCTTTCTTTCAAGATACTGGAAATGAAGTGCAAGGGCATTCTGCCACTGAGCTACATTCCTAGTACCCCAACCTGCACTTTTTTTTTTAAATTTATTTTTTTAATAGTAGTTGAACACAATACCTTTATTTTATTTTTATGTGGTGCTGAGGATCGAAACTAGGGCCTTGCATGAACTAGACGAGTGCTCTACTGCTGAGCCACAACCCACCCCCCCACCCCGTACTTTTTAAAATTTTTGATAGGGTCTTTTTTTTTTTTTTTTAAAGAGAGAGTGAGAGGAGAGAGAGAGAGAGAATTTTTAATATTTATTTTTTAGTTCTCGGCAGACACAACATCTTTGTTGGTATGCGGTGCTGAGGATCGAACCCGGGCCGCATGCATGCCAGGCGAGCGCACTACCGCTTGAGCCACATCCCCAGGCCCTTTGATAGGGTCTTCACTAAGTTACTGAGGCTGGCCTTGAACTTGTTATCTTTCTGCCTCTTCCTCCCAAGAAGCTGGGATTATAGGTGTGTGCCACTGTGCCTAGTCATAAACCAGATTGTTTAATCAAACTCATTTAAATCAATAGACTTGGCATTTATTTAGCTCTTCACCAACTAATATAAATACTACTTAGAAGAGAGAACCTGTTTAATTTTGAAAGCCACTTATTTCTTATCTAAAAATATTATTAATCGGGGGAGGGGGAGTTAGAAACTAAAATATGAGCCAAAGAAATTATATTACAAAACCCAGAGATCACTTTCCATCCACAAAAGTAACCCAAACTTAACACTTAAATTGTAAATACTTTTGAATGACCAATGCTCTAGCCACTTTCCACATTAAAGTTTCATCAGGTATTTAAAAATCCTATGTGTTATTATTATTTTTTGGTACCGGGGATTTTGAACTTGGGCACGTGACCACTGACCACATCCCTAACCCTTGTTTTTGCTGAGGCTGGCTTTGAACTTTCGATCCTCTGGTCTCAGCCTCCCAAGTCGCTGGGATTACAGGCGTTTGCCACGGTGCAGAGCTCCTATGTGTTTTTGCTATTTTGGATCAGTTTTACTATTTTTTCTGAGTGAAAAAAAGGCAAATAGACTCTAGTTAAAGGTTTTGTTTTTGTTTTAATAAAGCATCCTGCACAAGATCTTACAACCTAAAGCTTTAACATAGTTCAGTGTAGAAACTGGATGTTTATATTTTTAGATTGCAACCAACACCTTACCTGAAAGACAGGTAAATACTATTATTTTATTTAATTATTTACTTATTTTTGTGGTGCTGGGGATCAAATCCAGGGCTTTGTGCATGCAAGGCAAGCACTCTACCAACTGAGCTATATTCTCAGCCCAAATACTATAATTTTTGTAGAAAATTTCTCTATAGGAATTTCCCTTGTCATTTAGAAGGTCTATACAATCTAAATTCTTCAGAATATATTACATGGAAGGAATAGAAAATACTCTTTCAAAAAAAAGGGACGGGGGAGGACAGTACTCAAAGTAGGTTAAAACCCAAGATAAGGGAGAAAATTAAGAACCAGGAGCCTACATCAGTTATATTCAAAGAAATTAAAAAATTAAAAAATCCCTAAAGTATGGAAACATCTTAAAGGGGCAAATGAGCCAACCTGAATGAGTTCCAATGGCCAAAGCTAGAACAATTTGAAAAACAAAAATTGTAGTACTGGAATAATAACCCAAAGTACCACATAAATATTATAACAAGTCTATACTGATACAGAAAAATGACTATATAAATAACAGGGGAGAAGGAACAAATCATCCTTACAGAAAAGTTACTAATATTTGTAGGTAAACACTTCTCTCCTCTTTCAATGTGAGCAAGACAGTAACTCTTGTGAACAGAACATGAGAAAGAAAAAACAATAGCTTTGTAGAACAGAAAGCTATGAAGCAAGATCTCAACCAAGAGACCAAGGATGACAGCAACAGCAATGTCAGGTGGCATAACACACCTGTGGTTGCCATGTGATGAGAGGGGCACTTCACCTCTAGGACCGTCTTTCCCAACTCCCATTAGCCCAGCTTTGTCACAAGAAAAACAACAAATTCAAACTGAAAGTCAATCCATGAAACACTTCAAAATTGGTAAGGTCATAAAAAATGAGGAAAGAGTGAGAAACTAGCACAGATCAGAGAACACTAAGGAGACAGGACAATTAAATGCAATGGGAATGCAGGTTGGATCATGGAATGGAGAAAGGATACCAGTAGAAAAAAACTGATGGAATCTGAATTATGCCTGCAACTTAGATGATAGTAAACACACACACAAAACTTTAAATTTTTTGACTAAGTTATTGCCATCACAGCAACAAAAGGTATTTGACTTAATATAGAAGTTTATAGTTTGTAAAACCTAGGGCTGGGGATGTACCTTGGGGCTAGACTACTTGCCTAATATGCACAAGGCCCTAACTTCAGTCCCCAGCATTGCAAAATAAGTATATAAATAGTTTGTAAAAGTTGTTTTAAATTAATCTACCTGATTCTCACAGAAAATCATGTTAAGTCACATTCACAGCACTAATTTTCTGCCCATTTTACAAAGCAGAAATATGTCACTTCTAAAATATTCTCATTTCTACACACACACAAAATGCAAATATAGCTAAGCACTGTTGACAGATTGAAATTTAGAGATTGACACTGCCCTTGAGACCTAAGGAATAAGAAACCTGGAAGTGAACAGTGAGAGAAAAACAAAACAAAAAGCATCCCTAGTCATCTGAGGAGGTATTTCATCCAGCCAGACATCAAGTCTCCTTCCCAGGAGGGCCTTTGGGCATTGTCAATAGCTTATGAAATGACCCTGGGGTCTTTTGAGAACACTTCAAGGAGCAAAGTGTTCCAAAGTAGGTACTAAAAAGGATAACAGCTACTAGAATAACATGAACTCACTACTGTGACCCAGGCTAAAGACCTTGTTTCCCACTGCAAAGTGTCTATATATATATATTGATATTCTTTGATAGGACCACAACACCTAACTTCACTGAAAATGGCAGATCTGAAAATCTTCACCTAAAACTAAAGTTTCCACAGCTCATGATGAGATTCTAAGCTGTGAATTCTCAAGGTCAACAGATTTTTAGCAAACCCATTTCCAAATCAGAATCCATATGATTCAAGTCCACGAGGTGTTAGCTATGAAAATGAAAACAAAATTAGTAAATGACATGCCAGTACACCAACTTTAGCAAATCGAACAATCAGATATGAAGAAATAAACTACAATGATTCCTCAACATGTCCCTACAACTCCATCCCTTGGGAATCCTGCACAGAATGCCAGCATCCTTTAGGAAGAAGTTGTAAATTAAGGGACCAAAAAAAACCTCCAAAAAATTATTTTAACCTTAATCAAGATTCCTTCCCTATATTTTCATTTACTTTTTGCAATGTTGGGGATTGAAACTAGGGCCTTGTGCATACTAGGTAAGCATACCACTGAGCTATATCCTTAGCCCCACTTCCATGAAGACAGAGTTGGAAGAGAAAAAAAAAAGACAATGAAAACCTTTTCAATCATTTTGGAAAATAAGCACTTTTGTCTGTCTTGTTTTAGAGACAGGGTCTCATTATGTTGCCTAATCTGATCTCAAACTCCTGGACTCAGAGGATGCTTCTGTCTCAACCTCCTGAAAAGCTGGGAGCACAGGTGTGCCTGGCTGAGTTGTATACTTTTAAAAAGTTTTCTCTTGCCCCCAAACAATATGCAACTCTCATCTGTAAATATTGCTTAATTACTTTCTTCTTAGATGACAAAATTAATTCTTGTCTTCATTACTTTTAGTTTTCTGACACTCATTATCACATTGAAGAAAAAGAGGGCTGAGGTTGTGGCTCAGTGGCAAAGTGCTTGCCTCGCATTTGTGAGGGGCACTGGGTTCGATCCTCAGCACCACATAAAAATAAACAAAATAAAAATAATTTAAAAAAAAAGGTTTTCCCTATATAATGCCATTAAAAGAAGAAGAAGAAGAAGAAGAAGAAGGAGAAGAAGAAGAAGAAAACTCTCCTTTGACTCCTAAAACAACTTCAGATACTTGGCCTCTCTCTTTGGTCCTTTATAATAATTTACCTTGTGTGTCATAAAGCCTTACCTTCTTTTCTGAGGATGGTCTAACTGCTGGGACCCTTAAATACAAACCCATTCTTTGGGTAGAGTCCTGGCCTGGTCATTTGTGTGTACAAGTCCATCCTCGGTTGCATACTAAAATGCAAGTCAAAACAAAAAAGATCAAAAGATGGACATGCTGTCACTATGGATGGTTATTATTTCAACCAAATATATCTACCAACAAAGTGTCATGGAAATTTTGTTTGGAGACCAAACCTTCAGATTTTGTGAGCAGTAACTTCCATGATACTTCCAAGTATGACTGGATATCATATAATAAAGCATCAATAATTTGCAAGGCATTTTATAATAAGCCCAGTACTCAATATCTCCCAATAACCCAATGAATTTAAAATAGTACTGAATATAATTAAAATATCAATCTTACTCTCTTGTTGAGCACCAAGTAAAAATCTTAGTAGTGAGTGATCCAGAGACATTGACTAAAGTTATAACTTTGTGGAGAAATGAAAACCAGCACTGATTGAAATGCAAAGCCACTGATAGCAAAAGGAATGGTAAGAGCAAAGGAAAAAAGTTAAAGGAATTATATAGGAATCGTTTTCAGAACAAGAGGTCCACCCACTAAAACACATAAGCTGACGATATTGATCAGAATGACACCCTCATTAACAAATACTTTCATTATATGTTGTCTTCAGAAATTTTGTTCTCATTTATTAAAATAGACCTAACTCAGGTGGCTTAACTTTATAAGGAAGCAGACATGATAGCAGAACCCATTCCAATACATGCTTTAACCATCAGAACTCCTTCTCTTTTGTAAATCTTTCCTCTTTCTGGCTTTTTAGCTCCCAGCCCAAATGAAGTTATGGAAAACACAAAGCTGGAATTATGGAAGAAATTTGGGGGAAAAGGCGTTCAAAAATTTATCTTGAATGATAATGTATTTATAAAATGATATATGCCGTTATTACATCAAGTTCTACCTTCTTTTAAATGACAGAATCAGAGACCATTAATGAATGTCATTTACTCAATTATTTCCTTGGTATTTGCTAATGTATATGAATACAATTATCATGAAAAATTATGTAAGTTTAGTCATAACCAGAAATAAAATTAAAACCTCCCATAAACCAACAACAGTGATAAATGTACTGTAAAGATAAATACAGATTACACTTAACAGTTTTCTTAAGAAGTTATCCGCTAATTTTACTGTCTTATGACAAAGCCAAATCAAATAAATCTGGAATCTATAGAGACTGGCTGTAACATGAATAACTGAGAACAGGAAACAACAAATAAAAAGGCAGAAGACACAGACTTTTAAAGAATAGAAAATATGAGCTTTGGACAGGTGCAATGGTGCCTGCCTGTAATCCCAGCAATTTGGCAAGCTAAGGCAGGAGGATTGGAAGTTCAAGGGCAGCCTTAGCAATTTAGCCATGCCTTAAGCAATTTAGTGAGATCCTGTCTCATATAGCTCAGTTGGTAGAGTGCTTTCCTCGAACGCCCAAGGCCCTGGGTTTAATCCCTAGCACCACACACAATAAAAGAGAATAACTGCTACAGACTCATGTTATTTTAGCTCGTTTTTGAACCAGGTATTCTTCATAAATATAGAAATAATCCCTATTATATATTTGTGGTAAAATATATAACCACAAATGCCAGACACAACACTCTTTTCAGAAGAACAATTCTGCTTATTCTCATTATTAATTTATGTGCAAGACTGCTTAATTTTATTCAGGGTGAACATAAAATACAACACAAACTAAAAAGAAGTTAATCCAGCTGACCATTAAACTTGAAAACTCCTTGGATTTGCTATAATAGGCCAATAAAATACAAAAATTAAGGCCAGGTATGGTGGTATATGCCTGTAATCCCATAGGCTCAGGAGGCAGAGGCAGAATGATTATGAGTTCAAAGCTAGCCTCAGCAATTTAGCGAGACACTGGGCAACTCAGTGAGACCCTGTCTCTAATGAAATACAAAATAGGGCTAGGGATGTGACTCAGTGATCAAGTGCCCCTGAATTCAATCCCTGGTACCCGCCCGCCCCCCTGCCAAAAGAAAAAAAATAAAATGTTTCCTCTATGAGCTTAAAACTATCTGGTCAATAAATTTCTGGGAAAAGCTTCTCAATCTAATGAACCAGATATAGTTTTAAAGTGACATTATTACCCTTTCAAGACCCTCCTTAAAGCATCATAATTTTTTAGGGAAGGGTAAAGTATCTACTTAACTCTAAAAAAAAAAACCAACAAAACAACTTATTTCTAGAATAAGAATGAGTAAGAATCTTACTTTTATTCTAGGTAAGAATGTGCTAAGCCAGGCAGTAATAAAAGATAACTTTGTCTACTTCCATTCAGTCTTTTGTTATCATTCATGGATTTTCTTTACTTGCAAAGAATATTTTCTGATACGTTAAAGGCCTTAAGACAATTGTGGTGACTTGGTAGGTTTGGGGCACATGGCATCATCAGTCATTTTAGCTCAGATCACAATCCTCTATGACTCATAGATCCCAACTTGTAAACCCATCCTAAGGATGAAACAGCCTCTGCAGACACATACATAGCCCTTACGTGCTGTGCTGCAAAAGCTCTAGGGCTATTTAAGGATTTAACTATTCTGCATAACAGTTTTTCAACTTAGAAGAATCCAACTAAGTTTGGCTCCAGGAAGAAAAGGCAATTTTTTGCTAGTGCAAGTTATTTATTTTTAGACAATGCAGGAAAGGGGATTCAGGGTTTAGGTAATTAAGTGATTTGAGAAAGGAAAGGTATCTGCCCAGATGAGTTGGAAATGAGCAGATTTTGTCATTGTTAAGAGCTCTTGCCAAAAAGTACCTCATTCTTTAGTTTAAGCCAGAGAATAGCTGATGGACACAGGAAGTGTTAGAAAAAGCTTGATAAGAGCAAATATCAGCCTCACTAGAATTAGTAGCAGATCATCCAATGAAAGATTCACAGATTACCCCAGAACTCATTCTAAGGACCCACTGAGGCTCTCCAGTAGGCTAGGCAGTATCCCTTCCTACCCAGATTAGGTACCAGACTGATCACTTTTAAATACTTAACTTTAAATTCCATGTTTAAGTGCTTTTTTTCTTTTTTTGAAAGTGCTGGGGATTGAACCCAGGCCTTATGCTTGTTAGACAAGTACTCTACCACTGAGCTACATCCCAGCCCAAGTGCTTTCTCTATAAATCAAGGATTTGACACCCAACTTCTCACAAAATGCCTCCTTGACCAATCCAATTCCTGATGAAAACACTGTACTGCTCTGTTCCCTGAAGAGCTTCTCAAAGTAGCAATAAGTCTTTAAAAAACAAAACAAACAAACAAAAACCAATAGATTAAATGGAAAGAATTAAGACGGCATAGAAAAGCCTTAATCTTGTCAAGAGGATGAATTTGAACTCACTTCCTAGACACTGACTCTGCATCTAATTTGCTTTCATAAGTAAATCCATTAGCACATACATATACATGAGAGTTTCAGAGAAGCTGTTTCTTTCCTGGCTGCATTCTTTAGACAAAGCAAACTTAAATAATAAGGGCACTGAGGATTTTCCTTCTTCAAGCTACTGACCTGATAACCTTGGAAGAAGTTAAGAATTTCCTTAACTCCAGTATTGTAGGCCAGGCCCTGCATTCTGACCACCGTGCCAGGCTGTGGAGGGACACCGCTAAGATTAGCAGCTGTAGGGAAGTAGCCAAGACTATTAGGCGAACCTGGGGGGCTAAAGGAAGAGAAAGCACAGTGAACCAACAGGAACAGACAATGTTGAATATTTACTCTAAAAACATTAGTTACTTAAGGAAATGGACTTTAAGGTGACCCTTCTTATGCTTCTCAGAGCTATCTTTCCTAAGACAGGTAAGAACACCATGGCAGTTCTGTCTCACATTTTTGCAAAAGCCAAGAGTTGAAAGGCAGTGAGGTTAATGCAGAGTTAAATGCAGGGCTTTCCCAAATCTCTCAGATTCTTAAAAGGAGAGGAAGGAGAGTATTAAGCCTTCACAATCGCTCAACCACAAAGCACCACTTCCAAAGCCCAGCACACTGATGATTAACTGGCTAGTTATCAGGAATACTAAGGCATGACTACAAAGGACTAAAAGGAACCATAACCAGAGAAAAGTATCCAAAATAATTGCTCCAAAGAATAGACTATTCTACCTATATATACACAAGCAAATATGCAGCAAAATAATAATACAGCAAAGCAAAGGAGGATAGCATCTATTAGTTATTTATTTCAACAGGATTTTTAAAAATGAGAGTTGGGAGGAGTTGGAAGGGATACATAACAAACTAAAATAGTCACCATTAATAAGAGAATATTGATTAATGGGTCTTCTTGGTATTACCTGAAGCAGTTACCTCTAAGGAACACAAGCCAAGTGAACACCTAACTTCATGTGGCAACCCCAGCAATCACTATGCTACTCTCACAATTAACTTTACACTGCTCCCCACTCTATCTGCTTTCTATCACAACTGGTGGCTAGATAACTGTAATTTAAAATACACATAGGGACCTTTTTTGCCCACAAGTCATAGGCTTAAAGAATAATACAGACTCCCAACTTTAGATTATTATCTCCTATTCCTCTTCCTAACTAGGTATTATCCTATTTCAAAGACAAACACAAAATGGGAGCCACTAAAAATCTTTTCGAGTATCTATCTTACATAATTTGAACAGATGAGTTATATTAAATGTGTCTCTAAACCAATACTCCTCATATAAGCACAGTAACCTATAGCAGCTCAACTTTTCTAAATTCAACTTTCCTATCTGCTAACTGGGAATGGTTACCATCATTGTAGTTTCACAGAACTGTTCTTCAGATACAATGATTTAACCTATCAAATTACTCCATAAAATACCATGCCATCTCCCTCTTCCTACTCATTACTATGTCTATTTCATCATTTGTAAAATAATGGAAACTCAAAAATATTACATGACATCAAAACTGTTCTGAACTTTTAAGTCTCTGAGGCAGTGGCCCTCAATTTTATTTGTAAATTAGAATCATTTAAGGAGATTTTTATTCCTAAGAGCCTGCCCAACCAAATTAAGAATTATAAACTGAAGAAAAGCAAAACAAGGCATTAATGTAAAGCAGTTCAACCAATCCCTAAGGAAACCAAGGTTGATAATTACTGTTAGAGATTCCAAGTTAATGAATGTATACCCAAGAGGCTTGAGACAGAGGGAATGTTGAATTTTGGGTTGGCATAGGATTGGCAATCATCAGCCACACCTCCTCTCATTTTTACAGAGGTAGAAATAGAAATGAAGTCATGGTTCAGTGTTAGAGCACTTGCCTAACATGGTTAAGTTTCTTGGTTCAATACCGAGTGCCAGGGGAAAAAGAAAAAAAAAAGTTAAATAATTTCTTAACTGAACACAACCAATTAGCTCTTTGCCAAACTAGAAGAACCATCCAGATTTCTCAACTTCAACATTATTCTTCTATACAACCACTACCATTCAAAGATCTGATCTTACACGTATTTCATTACTAGTTACTCAGACTTTTCCACGTAAGATATGAAAATCTGGTCATTTTCTCAGCATACTAATTAATTTATTCCTACCTTAGCCTCCTGAGTCACTGGGATTACAGGTATATGCCCCCATGCCTGGCTCTAATTTATTAATTTTTATGGTACTGTCCTGGCTTATTCTATTATTCTATTACCTTTGCCTACAGATCTATAAGCTTAGTACCCTCAGAATACACTCAAGATTAAAAACAAAAGATAAAACTTATATAACCAGAGACTTAAGCTTATAAAGGACAATTATTTAGCTTCTAAAGTAGCACATACTGATGAAGCTTAAATACAACTTGAATTCCTACACTTATTTTTCACAATAAAGATTAGCTGCTGTGGGTTGGGGATGTGGCTCAAGCAGTAGCCTGGCGAGTGTGCGACCTAGGTTTGATCCTCAGCACCACATACAAATAAAGATGTTGGGTCCGCAGAAAACTAAAAAATAAATTTCTCTCTCTCTCTCTCTCTCTCAAGCTCTTAAAAAAAAAAGATTAGCTGCTGTATACAAGGAATCATAAAGAAAATCAAATATGCAATAGAAATGAATTTTTTTTTGTTTTTTTTTTTTT